GTACAGGGTCTTACTGTATAGATCAGACTCATAGTGATCCCCTGTCTACAGCCTCCCAAGTGCTGGGATTACAGGCGCGTTACTACACCCAGTCTCAGTTGCCATCTCAGCGCACCCCGGGGCAGGGCCGGCACGGCAAGCCAGGGGATCAAACTCCTGGTCCCTGCGTCTGCCTAAGCAGATGCTTTAATCTGCTGAGCTATTTGGCCAGCCCTAAGGAAAGAAGAAAATAATAGTAGAAATTTAGAATTTCTGCACATGTAACGTAGTTATTTTTTTATTTTTGTACCAGGAATTGAACTTAGGACCATATGCTTACCAGGCAGTTGCTTATGCTGCTGAGCTATCTCCCTGGCCCCTACACATGTAACCTAGATTAAAATGTTTTCCTTGGTTAAAATGAAATTTGGGTCAGTTTTAACCTCTTTTTGCCAAGGTTTACAATTTTAAAATTCTTACATGAAATTCACATTATCTAGAAAACTTCAAACAAAAAAATTGAAGAGAAAAAATGTTATAATGTTTCGTTGTTCTATGCCATTCCAGAAAGGAACAGGAGGCATAGGAGGGTTAATACGATGTCCCAGAGGAGTTAGTAGCTGAGGGCCGGAGACGAAAATAGCAGCCAAACCTAGAGAGTGAGCAGAGGCAACCCGCAGCACATGATGTGTTTATTGTCCTGAGTCTTTTTATCCCAGACTGCACAGCCAATTCTGAGTGTAGGTGGAAATTATGTATGGGAGGAAAGATGAGCGTCTTAGTTACTTTTTCATTGCAGGGACAAAACATCCAAAAGCTACAAGTTAAAGGAAGAAAGGTTATTTTAGTTAATAAACATACACGTACGTCTGTCAGCCCACCCATTCTCTAAAATGCAGTTGATGCACTGCAGAGGATGTACACTCCGTTTCAGTACTGGCACAAGTAAAAGGTGGTGACTGTATGTGTGTGTGACCATACGGGGCCCTGAAGACGGGTGCTGTGATAGTTTGTAGAGGTTTCAGTCCGTAGTCTGCTGGTTCCAAGGCCGTGCAGCATGACAGAGGCACATCCCAGAGGAGAAACAGTCCATGGCAGCAAGCCTCCCTTTCCCTTTTATTCCGTCTAGGCTACAAGCCTTCTGGGTGACACAGTGCACCCTTAGGGTGGGTTTCCCCATCATCCACACCATGAACTACAATGAACTAATTAGTGGACTAACCCAGTATCACACGCCCTAGACCCAGCCACCTCTAAAAAGCACCTATGAATGCATGAGGCTTTAGGGGGCCATCTCGCTATAAGCCATAACAGGGAGAATATCTGTGTTGCTTCATTATTAATAAATTAGTTCAAAAATATATACCAAGAACCCACTGTGTGCCAAGCTTTGTTGGAAATACAGGGAGAAAAAAAGCAAACGTAGTTCTGGTTTCCTGAGTCCAGTGAAGGAGACAGGCATGAATCTAGTAACTACGTGAAGCTGTACTGTGCCCTGAAGACTGGCACTGTGATGGAGAGGCCTGTAGAGCTGGGCGGCTTACGACAGGGATTGGACTTGGAGGTCTCTGAGGAAGCAACGAAGGAATTCCTCCATTAACACAGAGGAGCTAACAAGTGCAATGCCTTTTCCTCTTTTCTGCATCTAATTAGCATTTACTTCAAACCACCTTTGAATCATGCCAAGACTGACAGAAAGTGAACGCCCTGTGAAGAGCAGATGAACATCAGTTGCATTTTAGAGACTGGGTGCGCCGACAGGTACATGGGCCCTTTATTATCTAAGACGGCCAAGGTGTTTGTCCTGTTACGCCATCCCCGAGGACTGAGCTTCCGCTGTGGCGTGCTCTTGCCGGCATCACCAGCCGCACAGCTTGCATCCCAGCGCTGCAGCTCTTTGATGCTTCATGCCCACAACTGGAGGACAGTTTCTGAAGGACTATCCTTCAGAAAGGACTGGGAGAATTCTTAGACCCTCCAACTCCCTTTCCCTCACCTTGAAGACTTGAGCTATGTAGACCAACTTTACTAGATCTTTCAGGCGTCAAAACAGTGGTTTAAATTGGGTCAAGACTCCATTACTGTGCCAGCCAAGGAAGGCTTCTCCCACTGACCTGCACACAAACTTGAATACTTTGGGCAGAACTGTTGTTCCCGTTAATACTGCCTAACACTAAAGCCTCAACACAAGATGTCTTCTGTTGCAGTATCACTTCATCTTCAGTAGTTTCCAGTTACTAAAAAACCTTTCCTGACTGAAACAAACAGCCTTCTTTATGGTTTTGCAATTTGATCCATAAAAAGACACATGGGGAAAGATGATGTATACAACAGGTTTCTCCCTGGCAAGCAATTCCCTAGGTGTTTGAGGTAATTGGAAAATTCAAGATGAGTCCCTCGGGTATGCATAATTTATGCAACATGTTTGAGAAGGCTGAGATTTCCAAATGATACTTGGTGAAATGAAAAATACTGGGGTTTGTGAGAAAGGCAGTCTTGCTAAAATGGATACAAGTATATCCAAGCTAAACATTCTGCCAGTGAGATCTTTCTTCCTTCAACATTTTAAAGTCTCTACTATGTGCCAAGAAATGCCCTACATAGAGTAGTTATTAAGGGCCAACTTCCTGGCCTCTTAGAGCTTACAGTCTCTCAAGGACAGCCACTAAACATAATACACATACTAGATGGTGCTGAGGCCAGGTCAGGGTGATACAGAGTCCTGGAGTGGGATCCTCACGAGTAGTTCGGTAGTGGACAGTGGAACAGAAGGCTGAAGATACCAGACAGTGGACTAGGTAGGTATCTGTGAGGTGTGCATTTCAAATGGAAGGGCAGTGATGACCAAGGCCCTCAGATGGAGTACTGAGAGTCTGAGGAGGACCAGGCAGGCCAGTTTGGCTGACACCGAGTAATGGGGGGGGGCAGGAAGTGACCAGTTACCCAGATCACGCTGGTCCCACATGCTGATGGGAAGCTGATCGTTGGCTTTTGTTCTGAGTGTAAGATGGGAGGGCTTTAGGCAGAAGACTGCTAAGATCTGACACATTTTGAAAGGATCTGACTGTTGGGTATAGAGTGTAGGATGAGAAGTAAGGGTAGAAACACAGAGACAAGTTAGAAGAGGGTTGCAAGAGTTCATGTGAGACATCCGGGTACTCCAGAGCAGGAGTCCGAAAGTAGTGCTGACAGGACTTTCCCATGGAGTTGCACGTGATGTGAGGTGAAGGTTTAAGCACTGTTTCCATGGCTACTGGCTCCTCCCCTCTAAGAATGTACATACGCATCGACCTCAGGAGAAGTGTCTGGTTGCTGTGAACAAATGAAAGTAAGAGCTGGGAACTGGAAGTCTGTTCTGGACATCTTAGATTTCAGGGGCCTGCTCTACACAGAGGGGAGCTGTTAAGCCACTGGGCATAATCCCACAGAGACTGGACCCTGAGGAAAATTTGGGAGTCATCAGTGTGTACATCGTAGGATGGGTCATCTAGAAAGCAGGGAGAGAACAAGTGCAAAAACATCCTTGATTCTGCTGTGTAGAAAACGGGAAGACAAGAAGTAAGGAGATGGGAGAGTTAAGAAGCGTGATCCCAGCTAAAACAAGGGAAGACTGTTTGATGCAGCTCTGATAAACGCTAGCAATAGGCCGGGAAGGAGAATGACTGAGGGTAATACCAGATGGTGACCTTGAGAGAACTACTTCAGTAGCATCCTCAGGGTAGCAGACTGCTTGGGCTAGATTTCACAAGGAACGCAAGGAGGGCTCAGCAGGCAGCGAACTACATGAAGAAAGCAGAGAAATCGGTGCTAAAGGGAGATATGATTGTTAGGGACTAGTTATATGCCCCGAGGTTGAAACCTTATGCCCAATAGATCTAAAAACTGTACCTTTATCAAGGTAAATAAAGATTAAATTGGATCCAATAAGGTTAAATGGGGCCCTAAGCCAAAAGGGCTGTAGGTATCCTGAGATGAGGAAGACACTAGGACCATTCCACACAGGGAAAGGCTACGTGATGATGAGGTGGGAAGGCCGCCCTATGTCATCCTTGGAGACACCTTACTAAAAACCAGTGTTGCTAGCATCTTTATCTTGCTTGGAATAATAATAATAATAATAATAATAATAATAATAATAATAATAATAATAATAATAATAATCATCATCATCATAATAATCATAATCATAAATAAAATACATTGATAGGAAATTTAAAAAAATAATAAAAAAGACTAAGGGAGACTGGACATATGTAACCATGATTATGAGGGCCTATAGCAAGCAAGAAGGATGAAGGAGAGGACGGGGGTGAGAGGGACAGTAGGAAGGCCATGGAGTCATTGCATTATGGGTTTCCAGGAAGTAGATGAATTAGTTAATACCCCAGATAAGCTGGGAAGGTGGGAACCTGTGTTACTGAATGCTTGAGACAGGCATGTCAGCGGGTGAAGATGGAATAAAGGTCGAGGGTCTGTTCAGCCAGGATAGGTGGGGAAACACCACCAGGGAACTGGTCACAGGTCTAAGGCGTCCACATGCGCCCTGGATTATGTGAAGGTAGTACTGAGGTGACAGCATGCCTGGTCCTGTAGCCTTTGAAGAGTAAGAGCAGTGAGTTGGGGCTTATGTAGGTGGGTGACCCATGGGTGAAGAGCAGACTGCACAGTTTATAGGCATGAGTTTCAAAGCAGATCATGGTTAGAACAGCAGTAGGAACAATGGTCTACAAGATGGTTTCTTAACTGTGGCACTAATGATGTCTTCAACTGGACTTAATTCTTTAAAAAGTGTCCCGAGCCTTGTAACAAGTTGAGTACACATCTAATATCCCGCCCTGCAGTAGCAGGCAAAACTGTCTTTCAGCCTTTGTGGATGTCCTCTGGGAGCCTGAGGTGGTGGTGGGGCAAATCTCTCCCAGTTGAGAATCCCAGTCTTAGAGCTGCACCAAAGAGCTAAAAGGACACTAAGATGGGCCCAGTCACACAAGGAGAAAGAGAAATGGCTAGAGGGCAGGAGCATTTGCTGGGAAGATCAGGCTTTGGTTAAGCAAGAGACCAAAGGGAATGTCTCCAGGAAGGATGCTGACGTGGACACTGTTTCAGTGGTTGTGGCTCTCACGCAGCCCACATCTGTCAGCTGCAGCAGGAAGCACAATCCACGATGACTGGACGGCCACTGCCTCACTGATTGACCTCCTTTGCCCAATGCCCAACCCAGTTCACCACTCAGACGCATCACTCCCACTACTTAAGGGATGTAACAGTGTGAATTTCAGTAACTTTAATGCATGCTGAGTTTATTACTACTTAAGAAATTATGAGTCCCAGAATAACACACAAAATAGGCACAGAGTGGACCTCAGCAGGCCTGAGGTAACAGTGCTAGGTCCTTCTCACAATTCTCTAGCAGCTAAGAAAGCACCATGTAAGCATCAAAGCTGCCAGTTAAGTTTCTAGCTATATAGACTAAGAAAGATCACTCTAAAGATCAAAGAGAAGTGAGGAGGGAACTTATTTGGATTGTTCAGTATGACAGCTGAAAGCAAGGCAAAGATCTGTTTCAATCTCCTGCCCCTTCACTTTCTCTCCGGGTGTCCTCTGCCACACAGCGACAAGGTGATGAGTAAAGGGGCTGTGATGGTACATGAAGAGGGCTCACCCAGGAAACATGGAAGTCACATTAAGTTGGTCACAGAACATGTATCATTAAGTCCACTAAAAATGTGCTAGCCAAAGTAGATAGGACAGGGGGAGGTTTCCGTTCTCTGGGGAAAGTAGCTAAATAATATGCAGGTCAGGGATCATTTTTACTTTTTGAGACAGGGTCCTGCTGTATGGGATGTGCAGGTGGGCCTTATCTTGCTTATGTGGCCCAAGCTGGCCTTGAACTTATGGCGATCCTCCTGCCTCAGCCTCCCAAGTGCTGGGGTAACAGGTGTGTGCCACCATGCCCAGCAAGGATAAATTTAAAATATATCAGAAAGTAAATTCTCACAGCCACATGACCTCTGCTTTCCAATGGCCCAGACACTCTTCTATACCTGCATGAAATAGACAGGGGCCTCCAATGGTAGAGAAGGAGCCCTGCCAACCAACTACAGGAAACGTGTGCTCCAGCAGCTACAGGTACAGCCAGTGAGGGACTCTAAGGTGAAATAAGGCACTCGGTTTTAATTCTATCCGTCTCTTGAGGATGAGTGAAGCTCCGGAGTCCTCTGGAAATCCACGGCTTTCCCACGCTGGAAGCCGTCACAGAGCCACAGTTCGCAGCAGACTCCGCGGTGCGCTCTGCCCACTTGTGCATTCGGACTTCTCGATAAACTTCCCACAGCAAGACCAGTGGGGTCGCCCCGGGTGGCCCTTGTGCCCATGGCCACAGCCTAGGTACCCACCTGTATGGGACAGAGAGAAGGAAACAAGCAAGGAGTCCTTTCTAGCTGTCACCACGGAAATTAAACCTCCTGTCAATGTCTAGACTCAGGGGAATGAAAGTAGCCAACTGACACGCGAGAGCAACCAGCGAGCGGACTTTGTGGTGCTCAGGGGACCTCCTCAAGACTGATGGTGGCAGGTCGGCTCGGGGGACCCAGCGCGCCCCGTGTGTCAGTGTGCGAGCTCACGGAGATGAGTGAGTGTGGACTTGCACTGTCAAATGAGCTGCTTTGGATTTTAACTGTAAAATGACAGAAACAAAAAAGAAAGGTAGATGAAGGGAAAAAGAAAAGAGGCAGACCCTGAAGAGGTTAGTTGGAAGGCACAAGAGGCACTGGGTTCCAGCCTACCATTAGGGTGAAGACGAGGTGGAATAATTTTTAAAAAATAATTGGCTCCATCGCCGACCTGGTTCAGTCAGGTGCATCATTCCTGCCTCATCTGGAGTTTCTTTAAAGTTTTTAAAGAGCTACAGTGGGCCTGCAGTTTCTACCCTGCTCGGCCTGCTGAAAGGGCTCCCCATGAACCTGAGTAGCACAGAGCAGCACAGTGCTCACAGGACCTACGACAGGGTAGCTGCACCGAAACTGAAGGCCCTCAGGACTCGCGAGCGTGCCATTCAATGCAGATTAAGTGGCCTGTTTTCTGTCGTGTCCCTGTACACAGACACTTCCTAGAACAAAGCCTCAGGCCAGACAGCTTGGCCTGCTGGCTGTGTGGCAGTGGAGGGGACTGTCGCTTGTTCATACTTCCGGCAGAGGCACAAGGGAGAGAGGTTCCTCCTTACCTGGCATGGTGCCCCCACAGGCGCAGCGTGCGTTTTTCTGGCCTCCACTGGAGCAGAAAGCGCAGCAGTGAAACACTCCCGGGTGGGGGCGATGCCTTCTCCTCACGGTCACCGTGAATGGGGAGCCCTGGAGAAGCAACACCGCGGCCCTGTCGGTCCACAGCGTGGGCTGAGCGGCGCCACATGCAAGACAGGCTGGCTCAGGGCTGCCTTTGGAGGGACAGGGCAGCAGGGGAGCGACCACAGCTGGGAGGGAGCGGACAGCACTGTGGACGAACTGGAACCAGGGAGGCTGCTTTTCACCTCAACTAAACCCCCTGGATACTGTCCCACGTGGTTAGTGCGATTTTCATTGACATCTGAATTAGCTGCACCTTGTTCTACAAGAGGCCAGAAAGACAGAAAGGCGAGGCCACCACTGGCTTAAGCTTTTCCTCAAGCTTTTTTCTTAATGGATGCTCCCCCCTCCTGCCCTCCATAAATGGAAGTGTGTGGCTTATCTGACATGGCCACTGTCTCAATTTCTACTTTGATGTGACTGACTTTGGTCTTTAGGATTCTCAGTTTCAATTCTTGAAGCATCTCAGAGGGAATCAGTAGGTTGTCACACTGACAGGACTCCTGACCCCTCAGCCAGAGTCTGCCTTTCCTGCTTTATCAAGCTGGCCTCTTTCTCCCCTGCGTCCTGGCGCACCTGAAACCCACTCGCTCCACCCGAGACTGTGAAGGTGTACGGAAGGAAAAGAGGCTGCGTGTGTGTGTTAATCGGTCTCAAATGTGTAACTCTTCCAACTATCCCCTTCTCTCTCTCTCTTTTTTTTTTTACTTGTATAAAATATATTTTTAATCAAGCTTGAGATCAATGTTTTATCTGTCTTTGTTTTAAACTGATTGTTCTAATTTGTTACATTGTTTTATGCTTTATTGTAATTCCAATATGCTTGGGTTTGGATTTCTTTCTGTGCATCATTCTCAGAATTTGCTTCCAATTTGGGGTCTTTATTTTTATTTTATTTTATTTTATTTTATTATGTTTGGCTTTGCAGCACATTCTTTTTTTTTTTCCATAATTTTATTGAGGGACAAATAGCAATGAGACAGTTTCAAATCAAATTGGTAGGACAGTTTCAATAACTAACACATTGCATAATCTCTCCCTAGTGGTTAATTGCTGTACAAGATGCAGACATGATATCCTATTTACAAACACTATTAGAACAAATCTCTCTATTCATTAAGAGAATGTAACTATATATCTATCCTAGCCATTTTGAATACACAGATACAAAATGGACATTCATCTGTGTCCCATTTTTTTGTTAAGTTCCGTTATTTGAATATTATAGGTGTGTAAACTCAGCAAAATATTCTAAAAGAGTCCAGTAGTCCATAATAGTATTGGGTCTTCCACTTGACTGGCAGTGTCAGAAATTGTTGACCTGAGTCCCCTACAGCTCAACATAACAGCATGGCTTTACTTCTTCTACTTCGTTTTTATACTTTTCTGCTGAATGGTTAAGACCAAGATAAAGCAATGTTCCCTTCTCTTCGTGGATAACTTTCACTTTTTTTTTTTTTTTTTTTCAGAACTAGGGATTGAATTCAGGCCCTTTCGCTTGCCAGGGAAGTGCTTGTTCTACTGAGCCAACTTTCACTTTCTACTTTCTATCCTGCATTAAACAAAAAATGTTCAATGAATGTTGCAGTTTGGCCATCCCTGTGTAAGAGCTGCATCACCTGAAAAAGCAAAAAGCAGAGCCTGGTATCGTAGCACCCTTCCCAGTATTAAATTCCTCTCCTTTCAAAGAATAGCTATAAACTGAAACCTTTGAAACCACTAGCCAAAATCAACATATCTTCTTTACCTCATGTCCCAGGTATTTTATCACAGTAATAAAAAACTGACTGCCACATAATTCATTAAAAAAAACTTGGAAGTTCAAAGAAATAGATTCAGATTCCAATCATGTGCTATGGTTTGTGCCTAGTTACCATCCCAAAGCCTCACGCGGTGATGGGGCAGCAGGCTTCCAGAGTTAGTGATTAATTCATGACCTAACGCTAGGATTATGGTGTGAGTGCTGCACCCTCCCTGGGGCAGAGAGCCTGTCTGCAGTGTAGGAAGGGAGAGAGGCTTGCCTCACTCTCAGCCATTGCTCCTCCCTTTCTGCTCTTGCTGTTCTGCTGTTTTCTGCCACCGGGGACTGCTGCCCTCTGCCATGTGCCACTGCCTTGGAGCCAGCTGATTATGGACTGAAACCTCCACAAACTGTGAGCTAAATAATAAACCTTTTCTTCCTTAATTTTGGGAGTCAAATATTTTGTTCCAGCAACGAGGGAAGAGTAACCGAGACAGAGCTACGATGTACGCCAGTCTCCATTTAACTGACTGGTAAGCCCTGTGCTTGAGTGTTTTGAAGAAGACTGAACTAGCTGGTCATGGGGATGCACACCTGTAATCCCAGCACTTCGGAGGCTGAGGCAAGAGGAGTGCTACAAGTTTGAGGCCAGCCTGGCCTACTTTCTGAGTTTAAGGCCAGCCTGAACTATGAAGGAAGACCTTGTCTCAAACAAAAAAATGAAAACGAACTAAGGTGTACAAAAACACCTAACTTGTTCCTTTCGTGCTAAGACTGGGCAAACAATAAACACCTATTGAATAAGTCTTCCTAGTACAGAGACCACAAGCCTATCAGACCATGTTGCTCTGTGACATTCTGTTACTCCCATCGGGGTGGACACCTGGCTAAGCGAAACCTCTGATTATTCCAATGTCAACAGACGTTGGCAGAAAGACTCTGCTAGACGTATATTACCCAGCTTTTAAAGCTTCATAAACCAGAAAGTGTTACATGTATCTTTGGAGTAGCATAGTAACCATGGTAACAGACAAGCTATATGTAAAACAGAAATGAGGATTACATGGGCAGACTGTTAGGCAGACAGTTGAGAGGAAGAGCAAACAGGCTTAACCCTGCTGATTATGAAGGCCATGTCCAGGTAGTCTGAACAAAGCTGGATACTCCTGAGTTACATTAAGCTTCTTTTTTCAGGTTTATTGTTTTTAGTACAAGGTCTTACAGGGTCTCACTATGTAGATCGGACTCTGATTCTCCTGTTTTTCAGCCTCCCAAGTGTTGGGATTATAGGCATGAGCCACCACGCCCAGTCTTAGCTGCTGTCTTAACATGCTGTGTGGTTCCAGGGATCGAATCCCAGTCCCTGCGTTTGCCTAACCAGGCGCTTTAGTCTGCTGAGCCATCTGGCTGACCCGACATTAGGTTTCTTGAATGTACATACTCATCTGCCAGATGGATTGCTCCCTCTGATCAAGTCATCTTCTCTAAATTAAGAATTCCACAACCTGACAGGGAGAATGACAAAATTGGAGCATAACTGCCAGCAGATGAAATGGGAGCAACAGGGTTCTCATGATCACTAGTATCCTCTAGTAAAAATAAGGTTGACAAAATCTAAGCTGTTCCTATGGCGAAGAGAAGAAAAACAAAATCCTACTCAATCTCTGCGACCAGTCATGTGACAAATGTCTCCAGATTGGAAGAGGACAGAAACAGCGGGGGTAGGGTAAAAGGACCTTGGGCTGCACGTGTCCGGGCCTTACCTGCACATGCTGCTCCTTGACGCAGACCCACACCGTATAGATCCCAGGCTCCTTTGGGGTATAGGAAACACAGTAGGTCCCGTCCTTGTTATCCTGGATCACTGTTCTGACTGGACTGAACGGGAAGAAGCGTTGAAAATCCACTCCTTGGGGCCACGGAGATAGCTTTGCAGTCTAAGCATCTGCCTAGCCAAGTGTGAGGACCCAGGTTTAATCCCTGGTACTGCATGCTGCACCAGCCCCGCCCCCTGGGCAAGCTGAGCCGGCCACTGAGACCAGGTGTGGTGGCACACACCTGTAATCCCAGTGCTGGGGAGGCTGAAAACAGGAGGATCACTATGAGTCCAAGCTGTACCAAACACATAAAACATTTAAAAAACTCCACTCCTCCAAGCCCACTGCAGCTGCCTGCCCTTTGCAGAATGGCAATTCCGTACCATTCCCTTCAGTGTTACCTTTAAATGTCTCTCAGATGGGATGTTTCTCCTGCTTGCCTCAGGAGTTAATTTTACAACAAAAGCAGCATAAATCCTACCGTAGTTTTGACATTTAAATTCCTTGAAAATGTTACTGCATTTTCACCAAGTTTCTGTTACATCTTTTTGCTGCCACCCCTGCTCCATTCTCCAATTCTAGAGAATTATAAATGTGTCACTGATACAATTTAGTAGCAAAAGTGGGCTGTGTTTTAGGGACGCCAGTCAGCCTAACACAGCAGGTCCTTCCTCTGCTCCGAAGCTTGGAATAAAGGCAGCCTAAAGGGCAGGCCGAATCTCTAGGAAAGAACTCAATATAGAAATAAAATACACCCATGAAAACACATTTAAGTCACGAGTGGGGTGCACACCTATAATTTGAGCACTTTGGGAGGCTGAGGCAAGAGGATCACAAGTTGAAATCCAGCCTGGGCAACTCAAAGAGTTAAAGAGACCCTGTCTAACCTAAAAAGAGGCTGGGATGTTCCTCGACGTGGATGCCCTGGGTTCAGTCTCAGTACCGAAAGATGAAACACTTGCCCAGTGAGCCATACCATGCTTCCTCACAGCACTGCGGCGAGGTGAGATAATGCCCACAGTTCCACCACCAGTTCCTCAAGGGACCCCTTCCACTTTCCCTACTTAACACAAACCTGTCCTTCTTGTCTTTAGGGACCACGGTGACATGGATGTTGTCTCCTCCCCTGCCCATGCTCTCTCCTGCAGTGTCCTTACAAAATAGGGTGAAAGAGGCTGTCTGTTTCTCCCGAGCTCTGTGGAGATCTGTGAAAGACAAGCAGGGCTCACCTCAGAGACGAACTGCGGAATCATATGCCCACACCCAGGGCCACACACCAGCTTTCTTTTCAGAACAAGCACTGTGCTTCCTGTTTATTGTAACCATTCTGTTCCCTCTTTTCCTCTCCAGCCTCCCAGGGTAGCCCTTTCAAGGTCTCTAAGAGCCTGCTTAGCTCGCAGCCAGCAGCTGCCTCTGAATCACAGGCTCCTGGACCTTAACTCAGCCTTAAGGAAACTTGGAAAACAATCAGGGTTGATATGGGTATTCAGAGAAGAAAACTGGTAGAGGTCCAGTGAAGAGTAACCCCAAAGTGCTCTCCATACACTGTGGGTGCTGCTGGAATAGGCAGGGGAATGGCTGGCCAGCTTGGATCCTCCACAGTGGGAGGTCCTTTGTAAGTCCCTGGCTCCTGCGGGGCACTGGGAAGCATCCAGCGATCACAGCCCCCAAGACAAAGATCAGCATGCAGACAAAATCAAGTTTCTTAACCCAGTGTTCATGAGCTAGTAGGGGGTCTGTGGAGAGGTTTATGGAGGGTCTAAGAATCTTCCCCAACTGCATGCCATAATGGGTATTTCTGGGTAGATTCTCAAAGGGATCTGTCACTTCCAAAGAGTAAGATGTCACTGCTAGAGTCAGGATGACTGAAATAGTCTTCCCATGAAGACTGTATGAGATATACATTCAAAAGACATGCTTTCTTGGGGAAAAGAACACTGCTGAAAAGAAAGCATCTCCTTCCCTAAAGAAAAAAGCCCATAGCCATATCCCAGGACCCTTGATTGTTGAGTTCCTTGGTTGCCACTACTTTCTGCAGGGTTAAACCTCCCTTCTGCATTAAATATTAACTGCTCTCTGACTGGAACAAATCAGATATACAAGAAGGGGTGTACCTGGGGGGTGGTCACTCTCTTGATTACTGTGCCTTACAGTAAACTGGTCCAGTGGAACCAGCCACAATTCGTTCAGTATCCTGTCCCTGTGCACTGACTGCCCTCTCAGTGCTCCTGGGAAATGCCTTCCTACCTTCTCCTTGAAGGACACATTTGGCTGGATCAACTTCTTTGGTATTAATGGTCCCATAAACTTCATAGCCGTGGCACTGGCCAGCTTTCTCCCGAGGAGAGAAGCATATTCTGTCGTTTATTCCGGGGCGGGTGCTGTACTCGACTCTGTTCAGCTTCCTGAGCCGTTCCACCACCACCCCCTTGGTGATGAGGATCTCCAGGTCTGAGCCACTGGTGAGCAAGTGCTCTGTGAACTCCACACCAGTGTGCAGGTCTGCCAGCAGTTGTTCCACCTGAGCTTTCTGCAGTTGCAAGGAGTTTTCCTTCTGCACCCGTATGTCCTCCAGCTGCTTCAGCAGCTTGTCCCGATGCTCCTCGATGGCCTTGATGTAGCCCTCAGAGAAAGCACGGACATCTGCTGCCACTGCCTCCACGCGTGCCTGGAGGGTGCAGTTCAGCTCTGTGATCTGAGTCAGAGCTTCCTCCAGAGCCTCCATGTGGGGCTGGGTGCTTTTCAGGAGCTCTCGCACAGAGTTACCATACTTGTGAATGACGTTGCTGGTGAAGTCATAGGGGTGCTCCCGGTGGTCCCCCACAATGCAATCCCGGCACACCGGACGGTCACAGAGCTCACAGAACAGCCTCAGCTCCTCCGCAGGGTGAGAAGAACACAGGATGGGTTTTCCAACCCGGCTGTAGCCTTTCAGATCCTTTAGGTCCACCATGGTATGGTAAGTTGTTTTCTTCTGCCGTCTAGGAAAACAAAAAGTGGAGATCAGGGACTAACTCCAGGCGGGAGACAATTTGGCAGAGAGGTTTCAGGAAGACGGGCTCTTAAGTCCAATTTGAGTTTCATCCCTAGGGACCTCAAATTGCATGATCTCTTTTTCTAGCTATTCAGCTGTGCATTGAGGCCAATACCTATTTAAAAGAGCTGTCATTTACAACAAAGTGGGAGTACACTTGGGCTTTGGCTTAGGACATGTCATTGCTAAAGGTTGTAGTGCTAAGACTATCTTGAAATCTTGAAACTTCCTTCAAGCCATGCTGTTATGTTGAGCTGTGGGGGACTCAGGTCAATAATTTCTGACATTGCCAGTTAAACAGAAGACCCAATGCT